AGTGTCAACAAATTGATCTTTGCAATGGTGAAATGTGGTGTTTTCTTTGCGGTACGGTCTCAGTTATTAGATAAGAATACAGTGCCCGCAGTGGTAATGCTGCAGCTCAACCTGGTAACCTGAGGGACTTGTGAGGCTCGGGCGACTTGGAACGACGTGAACGAGTTCCTCTACCTGCGCTAAGATTAGGTTAGGCGAGGTGGGGATATGTTAAGTTGGGTCAGGTTAGGTTAAGTTTGGTTAGGATAATTTTGGGTATGTTTGGGTTGTTTAGTTTAAGTTATGGTGGTTTGGGTTAGGTCAGAGTAGGTTAGGTTAAGTTAGTTTAAGTTCGGATAGGTTAAGTTTGGTTCCGTTAAGTATCTTAATTTTAGTTTTGGTTAGTTAGGTTTAGTTGGTATCGATTAAGTGATGTTATGTGAGATTGTTAGGTTCTTTCGGGTTCGGTATGTTTTCCATTATTCACGTCCCTGCCCTCGTCGTAAACTCTGCAATTGTTTGCTAGTATTTTGAGACTCTCGAGCCTCATCTCCTCTATGTGCATCGTTTCGTGTTCCAGAATCGTGGCGCTTTGCGATTCGACGCTTCAGTTGAGTTAATTTGCATTTAATTGTCGTCGTCTTTGTTTTGGGCTTTGGGGTGTTCGGCGTTGTTTCTCGGCCTTCATTCTCACTGGCGTCTTGAGGCTCAGCTGCTCTAATATGGCGTATTTTGATAGCGCCATGACGGATGGAACAAGAAAGCTTATCGTCTGTGTTCTAACATCGTGTCCGATGCCATTCCGAAGTTCTTTGCGGCAAAATATGGCGTCTTTTCATGATATGATTACAGTGTCACTAAAACACCAGAATCTGTTTTCATATTCCCCGTTTATGTGTTCTAAACTTAATCATACTTAAAATAACCGTACGTTCATCATCGTGGTGTTGGAAACGGGAACAAATTTCCCGGCTGTGAGTGTGAACTCCTTTTGAGCTGTTGCAATGACGAAGGCCAGGCAGCGCTGGAAATGTACAGGAGTGCCAACCCAGTCGCATCCCCAGGCCGAATCGCCCACGCTCTCCGCCTGCAACATTTGAAATTAAACCGACATTTGTTCTCTTGAATGCGCGTTCACATGAACTTCAGATTTACTGGTAAGAAGACCTGAAATTACCTGGGATGTCAACTCCGTTCCCAGCCTGCAGTATATGAAAACACACAACAGCATCGATAAATACCCTGCGAAGCCTTGTAATACGTCTGCAGAATGACCCCAGCTCTAAACATGAGAATAAACAGACAAATTGGTATAAATGACACGTTTAATTTTATGTACAGAGGCCTAACATTTATTTGATAATATTTCAGATTCTTCCACTCTGTCTAAAAATCTGAAGATTATGGGTTTTTCGAAACAAAAAACTAATTTTACCTGTTGTTTTTATGGGTGCGAAGTTCGGTGTCTCATTATAACTGAATAACATATTTTGGGTAGATTTAATAACAGATTCTTGGGGAGAATATTTTGATTTGAGGAGGATGAAATATTTGGAGACTGAAAGAAATTGCACAGTGAGGACCTTCATAGTTTGAACTCTTTACCAGATGTGAAACAGTGATCAAATTCAGGACGAACAGATTGGCGGTGCTTGTTGCACGCATGAGACGATAAGAGATTAAAGCAATATTTGTTTGGATACACTAAATGGGGATAAATAGTTCGGGAAATGCGGACGTAGAGAGAAGAATTTTTCATTAAATTTGGCCTTGAAAATAGTGTGACAATGTTGGCATTTGTCATTTAGTTACACCTTATAACACTGTCGGTCTATATAGGTATTGGGTTGTGACGCAGTTTGGACCTGTAGTGGCGACCAGTGTCGCCCCGAAACGTCAAAACCCGCATGCAGGTCCGCACGGCGTCGCAACCAGGAGCACAGACATCGACACCTTAGCCGCTGTGGTAACCTATAACTCAGACACGCAACGTTTTTGTGTGAAAATGAAACACGCAATGTGCGTTAGGCGAACTTTGCAGAAGTATTTGTCCAAAGTTACAGGCATTGGTTTTAGCCACTGTTGATCGTCTTGCCTACACATTTGTGTGTCTTTTGTAATTTCCTGAATTCAGATGTTGGCAGTTACGAAAAGAGTACTGTACCATGACTCCGGAGAAGGCCAAGCAGCATAATGTAATTAGTATGATGAGGAACAGGCCACAAAAGCAGGGATTGAACACGTCCTCAATTTCCTGCATGAACCTGTGGAAGAGACACGAACAGATTGTAGGAAGCAATAGAGTAGATTTTTCTGATTTATTTTCTGTTCTTCAGTTATACGTCAAAATGACAAGGGGGCATTTATTCTGTACGTGACAGATTTACGACGCTCAAGATCTGCTTCGATTCAATTAAGAAAAATTTCTGATTTCCGTATTAGCCGTCGACGTTATTCGTTTCTTATTTAGAAATGATTTGAAAAATTTCGATCTGTTTACTCTAGACTGGTCTAGGGGCTGGCAGGGCAGACCATCTGTCGGACACGAGGTCGTAAGAGATGTTCTGAACAATGTAAGTCCATACTTTCCAGTGGATGTAGAACATTTCTTGCACATGAGTAAAAACCAGAAACTGTCGATACAGATGCAGTATAAGGTTTGGGGATTAAATGAGTCCAAGGACCCAAGTTTTCGGCGTTACTTTTAGAAACTTACTTCCACCATCAGACTCGTGATGTCAGATTAGCTTAGACATTTATAAGGAGGAGTCATTCCAGATGCTCACCTTTTTATCTCCTGGTGATGACGTATGCAGGCATTGAGCTGATCCTGCATGCGACTGAACGTTCCCTCGTGCTCTGAGGTCTCCTGTTTGATGTCCAGGAGAGCTGCCCTCAGCTTCTCCAGCTGACTGCACGCCACACACACCATCACGCCATATAGACACGTGAAGGTCATCAATGTGGTTATAATCGCAAGTGAGCCAAATATCTGCGCGCGATAACAGTAACGTATGGGTGTGAAACTTGGTTTATTCTGCACCAAGGCCTGATAATGCATGAGAACGAGGTGATGAGGGGAACATCTAGGCTTAACAGGGACAAAGCAACCGAATGATGGAGAAATTAGCGTAATGACATTTAATGGTTACCGAATTTTGAGATATTACTAACTTTTTTCCTGCAGCCTGATATTAGGACACAGGGAAATCAGTCATAAAATGACTGCAGTGTCGAGAAAGACTTGTGGTAAAATTAGAAGGGGTAGAATAAATTATTAAACCACTTTTAATTTGTTGAATTTCAAATTCATAAACATTTGACTGTAAGACTTTACAGAAACTCATTATTAAGCTTTCTGTGATGTGATTTCATTTCTGATGATTCTCTACAGTTGCTGTTAGTTGTCCTGCAAAACCCTCGAAACATTTTTTGTTTGTTTTGGCAAAATATACAAGTTTATACTTTATTATTTTCATTTTCAGTTCAAGCAAAATGCATTTGAGTCCCGAATGTGGGCCGCGCTTACCTCGGAATGCAAAATGATCTTCTGCAGACATTTATTACAGAAGTGAAGGTTTCCCAAAAATTGCGTGCCGAACATGGGGGGGGGGGGTCACTCATTGGATCATTTGAGTGATAAATGTATCGGCATTGGTCGAAAACTCAACTGTTAAAATCTATTTCCGTTATTATTCTGACCTTGTGACCCCCATTCTCTTGGACCCACAAATTACACTTATTTTCCTCTAAAGTAACACGTGTTAAATGCAGTATTTTTGAAACGACTGCTTTCATAGAGGCGTTTGAAGTGTACAATTAGAAGTCACTTCTAAATGCTGGTTTTTCCTGCTCCGGCTGAGAAAGTGGACTCAGCCATCACTTCGTGCTTCCTCGTGGAGATGTTTAATTACGTGTTTCGTTTCACATGCGAATAGGTGCCCAGGTTTTGGTCGGCGATGACTTCTCTAACATTTTACCCGGATTCTGTGACGGATTTGCACGGAAGCGATTGAAAATTATTGGTGTTTGGTTTTGGAACAGTCGTCAGCGATATTTTAATCGACTTCCATTTATATCCTAACTTTACAACCCACGTTGTCTTAATCAATTCTTTAAATAATGTAATTTTATACCACAGTGCTTCTAATTCTGTGATAGCACAGATGACCAGGCAATCGATTTCTGATTGAGGCTTAATTCCTTAATGTTCCCGTTCGACTTTTTTTAACAAAGAGTTGCCGGAACAAGATATTTTATTGAAATATCAATTACCATAAATAAATTTTAAAACCCCTTTTAACCGACATTTATGTCGTTTTCACACATAAAAAATTGTTCGTCCACCATGTTGGTTTTCGTGACTGTATGAAATTAAGAATTACGTGTTTTCGATAACGCACAATGATAAGTTTGGTCGAAATCCGTTCAGCGATTCTGGAACTGAAACATGGTGATGGACAGACAGGAACAGACCTTTGTTCCTTTGGTCCGTGCAAAGAACACACAAAACAAGAGAGTAAATTAATAAAATAAGGAATAACAACAATGCCACTCCAAATATTTGCCTTTCAACTGCATAATTTATGTTAACTGGGGGACGGAGTCTCAGGAATATAAGCGGAAGGACATGGCAACGAAGATGTTTTAAGTAGAAGATGAACACGTAACGCAAACAGAAGGCAATTAAATTTCTATCTCATGCAGTTAATGCGTACAGACTTTTTCAAGACGACAACAGATGCCCAGATGTAACAACAATGAAAACTTTTACAGATCCTGAACAAATTCGATTTACTTACATAAAGCAATTACTGCATTAGATGTTAAATAAAGTTTGTCTAGCAGTAACAATGGTTCTGAACAAGTTTCTTCAACATGATAACACAACATAACATTGCTTCTATAAGAAGCAATGTGTGAACATTTCCACTTTTTAACAAATCAAAAGTAATCGTTACCTCTGAGATATTCATTATTTGCAAGGTCAGCATTGTCGAGTTGTCAAAAGGGTGCCACGTGTTAAACATCACGAAGTGATATCTCGCCCTGGTTATAATTGTGTGGATTATGTGATATCCGTTGATAAAAATTATCCCACGCAACATGTATCTCTGAAGGCGAGTGACCAGTCCAGCCATTGTTAAAACTTTCGTGTCGGGGTCGGTTTCTGGTTGGTCCTCCCATCTGAAGGATTCCGTGAGAGCAAACAGGACCTCAAAAGCAGATTTACGAATCCTGAAAAAACAAATATGTAAGTCCGTCAGTGTAGCCAACTGTCGCTCTGATTTACTTTGAGCAGAGCCACGCTGACAAATGCACTCGAGTTTTCCAAACGCTTTCTTTGCAATTCATTGCTTCCTCATTGGCCTTGGCCTTGGCCTTGCCGTTTGCTGACTGCAGATCGCGGTCAGTTGTTACGAAATTAATCACGCTGGAGGTAATCGCAATTTATTTTATAACGTGTATTGTTGAACATTCCGTGCATTTAGAAAATTTTTAAACCAAGTGGTGAATCTTCGTGTTGCAACATCATGCAACAATCATTTCGTGCGGTCAGCCGTTGAACGATGCCTGAGAAAAATCTCGTTTGCATTTCGTGTGAATTTAGCTATGCTTTTACACCAAAACGAACATAATTTAAACAGGCCGGTAAAATGAGTGACGACACGAGGTTCTCGCTCCTGTGAGATACCACCGTTTCGGAGATACATATTTGTTCCATCTTCAGGACTAATTTAAAATGGAGACGGTATGTTTCTGAGAAACGTTGGTGTCTGGGTACAAGTGAACACGGCGTTACAAGTACCACAAAAAACCAACATTACAATTTAAGCAATGTTTGAGCGACTAAGTTTCTGCAGCATGACTAGCGCATAATGACTTGGAGATTGACTGCAAGAAAGCGGTCGTGGCCAAATTTAAGTTACTATGACGACGTACGTATGGAGGGACTGAACAAAACTTCGGAAAACTCAGGATAACCTGAGACTCTACAGTGTGAAGTGATAAGCTGATTGTTGGGTAGATTGTTGTTTACAATGAGAAGAAACGTGTCGTGGCCTAATTTAAGGCTTGGTTGGAGGGACTCGGTGCGACACAAAAACCTGAGGGTGTCCTGTTGGTGAGTCGAGACTTGAAACCAGGACATCCCGATTATGGAACACGTTTAATAACAGGTCGACTGCAACGTTCTGCTTGTACCGGGTGAATCAGAGATCCGGGGTCGTATAAATGAGTTTCCAGACGTCTACTTGGAAAGTTAATCTCTCATACTAAGATGAGTTGTATCGCTGTGTAATCTGGAAAAAATTACCAACGTTTCAGAGGTATTTGTTGCGTCCATTATCAGGACTTTCACCCAAACACCTCTGACACGTCGGACAACTTCTACCAGATTACGCGGCGCAACAACCCAGAAGACAGCCATTTTCGGACTCACCGTCGAATAAATTTCAAATCCTACTCTAAAAATACTCTCACCATAAAACACTGAACGGATAAGTGGATTCTGATTACCTGAGGTACAGGTGCATCCACATTATGACACAGGCCCCCAGAAAGAAACGGGCCTTCACAAAGCCATATTCCAAGTCTCTGCTTGTGACCACATCCATGGTAAATTCCAGGTACAGGTTGTACATGCAGATGGAAACCACCGTGTTGTACAAGGAGCGATAGCATGAGGACGTCTTCCTGTTCACAGGGATTCCTATTAACCGCAAGAATAGAAACAGCAGACTAAAACGTCTTTCGGTGATGTCTCCTGCGTTCAAAGTGGAGTTCTCCATCGTGACGTATTGATTCCAGCAGTACGTCTTCTTCTCCTTGTTCGTACTGTCACTGTCACGAAGACTGTCAGATGGGATGCAAGGCTTCTCTCCCGTCTTTGTTTCGTTACACTCTGACTCCATTAAGTAATTTTCTGTGCTTTAAAAGCGCAGGGATTGTTAAAATATTAATGACATTCGAAGTTCGTTGTTAACGATTCGACCCTTCGTTGCCTTAATCACAAAACTGTTGAAGTCTCTTAATTTTCCAGCTCCAACTACCAATTTCGTGAAAACTCAAAGACGCTGCGTAGTTTGCTTAATGGGATATCATGAATATTAAATGGGAACAACTTTTAAGTTTAATTTATGCTAAGGAGACATGAACTTTCAGGTGAGTTCAGGAAATCTGTATATTTGACGAATTAAAATTATATTCCTTGCAGCGACATTTTTCTTTCAACCACTTCATTGATTACTCACGAACTATTTAATTTCTTTTAGTTGGTTTTGTTGTATTTAATAACAGATAGATCTCGGCCCCTGAGAAATGTTTACTTTACTTTTCCTCAAGGTGCTAGAAAAGGCTTAAAATCAACTTGAAGAAAATGTTTTATACGTAATTTAAATTCTTCGCTTCATTATTTCCATTTGCAGTAAATGTACTTGGCTTCTCTGGTACGTATCCAGCTGTAATCTGCAAGCAAATTTCGGTCCCGTATGATCTGGTAACTTTTTAGTCTTGCTCCAGGAGGACTGTTCTTCATCAGACACTACCAGGAAAGTCTCTGCTATGTAAATGCATTGAAATCATATGAGTATAGATTTCCGGTGCGCTTTTGATAGTCTTCATGTTTTTATACGAATCGTCGTTTGTCACAGGATAGAAATTATTGCCCCCATATCTAGTATATTCGCCGGGACTCGATCCCAGGACAGTTGTTTTGGGGCTGTGCCCTTCCAATCTCCTCGCCGAAACAACCGATTCTGTTCTTTGCGCCGTTCTTCTATCGTTCAGATTTGAGGTTACAAAACCACCGTCTCCTGGTATCGAACGCTGGACACATTCTCGGACATTTGACATTTCTGCGTGCTCTTCCTGGTCTTAGCGAATAAGCAAGCCAGGTTTGGTTCAAGTCGGATTATCCGTTCTCGAGCTAACACACACAATTCCAAATTTATGTACAAAATAATTGTTTTCCTGTGACGAAGTTTTATATTGTAACCTGAAATGCAAATAAATAATGTCGTTAGTTAGAAGTGTTAGAGGTCTCCATTTGCGGTGATTGTGAAGATGGCAGAATTCTGGCTTTTCAGAAGTAATCACCCTGATTGTGGAGACAGCAAGAACCTCTGAAACATCGGTAAACTGCTACTAGACGACTGCTGTAGAGACATGTGGGTCAGATTGTGAACTCGAATTGAAGAGCGTAGTAGCAGGGCGAATACCCCCGCATTATTTATGACTGACAGGTCGAGAGTTACACAAAGTGATAATTGGTATCACAACAACCAATTGGTTTGCAGTAATTGCCAAGTGTATTTTCTTTGCTTAGTGGAAACACCGTAGTGCTTTGTCGCTTTCAGTGAAATTGATTGACACTCTCTGCTTCTCCTGGAACATCATTTGCAATCCAAAGCGTGGCTAATCCAGATAGGCGTTCACACGTGGAAATCCTTATTCGATTTGAGTCTTGAAAAGTTCCTTACAGTGGATGTGGTTGACTTCAACATGTCTTTCCTTTTTGTGGGAAAAACCGTGTAAAATCTCAACAATTCACTGAATCCCTAACAATCGATAACGGAGTCTTCCTAGAAAGACAAGACTTTCTTCTCATCTTGTCTTTGTTTAAAAATTATTTTGCTTGCTTTCTTATGGTTGATACTTCGGAAAAACCGGAGGTGATATAACATTTTTATATAAGCTCGTGGCTTCATGAAAGTTTTTTCAGTGTTTCCATAAAGAAACGCACTCACTCTCATCTTATAATCTCAGATGAAGAAGGGTTAATAGTTCCTTATTTCCTTCTTCTGCAACAATCACCATCTTCATTTAATGCAGGGTGATCTCTGCTAAATTATGTCGTTCAAGCAGAAAGCTGTGAAAAGAATTTCAAATTTGGTCGAACTTCGCTTGTTCCATTAATAAGAGCCACAACTTCGAACAGTACAGTCAGTGACATTTTAAGTTTGGGAATTTTTTTTGTAACTGATTCGCAGTCCCCCACGTTTTCAGAATTTTCACGTGTCGCGAAGATTTCAATGACTCTACTGGAGTCAACGGATTCATGATCTAAGTTTTGGCGACGGATGCATCAGTGAAAAAGTTTGTTCGCTCGAAATTGTGTGTCTGAGATTTCCCGTTATGACCTTCTGGGTCAGGCAACATGTAGACTTCTATATATTTACGGCCAAACCGATTAGACGTATCGCCTCCATTTTTAGGGTTGAAGTGAGTTTGTGCGTATTTATTTGTTTTAACGACACTTCCAATATGCATCATCAATCTACACAATGCGGAAAAAAAATTCATAGAGACCCTGAGGAAAATCTCGAAAATCTTTTGTCAGTCTATCAGGTCATTGTGAGATTGTTGAATCTGAGGCCTCCCAATTTGAGGAAAAAGTTCTAGCCACTTGACTGAAATTCCTTCCGGCCTACGAAAGTCGTGTGTAAAAATAATTTAGATTTCAGTCATTTACGAATTTTTACTTATGTCTGCTAGTTTTGAGACTAACAGATTTGAAGTAAATCAGTTAACAAAACGGATTAAAATAGAAAAGAATTATTTATAAAACATTTAATGTAATTCACTTTACTTTACTGTGCAGAATTTATAAAACTTAACTTCCCCATTGCATATTTCCAGCGGTACAAGGCATTGTGTTGTTAACCAAATATTATTAAAACCGAAACTTCCCTTAAACTCCCCCAACCGAATATAAGTTACGTAATTTCTCTGGCTTTTCTGGTCGTGCTTTATCCTACTTGCCAGACTGGAGGAGTTCGCCATTGGTAACTGCAGTTAGAGAAGTGTTTAGGTTACTTTAAACTTTATTGCAGATATAGGACAGAAAGTGTTTCATTTCGTACAATAGCGAATACAGTTATACTTTGAGCTGTGATTCTTATGATATTACAGGATGACTCACTAATGTTCCAGTTTGACATTTATGTGTCTCGTTGTTGCAAGACGTGTTGTGTGTAGTGTGAAGTGTGTTCTCTCTTATTGTCTTCTAAAGCTGCTAGTTGCGGAGCCTCCCGTGAGTTTACCATTCCTTCAAATTAATTTTCCCTCTTTTTCGCCATCATTTCTGTATTTCATTTGGAGAAGGAACATGAAGAGAGACACCGACTGATTCAGCATCTGCGAACACAAACATTACCACGTGACGTCATGTGCACAACAACGTCAAATTTTAAAAACACTGTGAAAGAGGACCTCGAGTTGATTATACTGTACTAAGATGGCTATATTTTCTTCAATTCCCATATCATGTGCCCACTACCCATGCTTTAAGGACCGGTGGTACATATCTTTTCCATTTGCTTGGCAATCTATAAGTCTGAACTTTTTTGAATCTCATAATTAACAGCGATAATTTCCTTGAGTGTGTCAACAAATTGATCTTTGCAGTGGTGAAGTGTGGTGTTTTTTGAGGTATCTCATAATTAACAGCGATAATTTCCTTGAGTGTGTCAACAAATTGATCTTTGCAGTGGTGAAGTGTGGTGTTTTTTGAGGTACGGACTGATGCTGCAGGTCGACCTGAGCGACTTCTGAGGCTCGGGTGACTTGGCGCTACGGGAACGAGTTCGTCGACTTGCGCTAAGTTTAGGTTAGGCGAGGTGGGTTTATATTAAGTTGTTTCAGGTTAGGTTAAGTTTGTTAGGATATTTTCGGGTACGTTTGGTTAGTTAGGTTTAGTTGGTTTGGATTACGTGATGTTATATGAGGTTGTTATTTTTTTCGTTTTCGGTATGTTTGCCATTATTCACGTCCCAGCCCTCGGCGTAAACTCCGGAAATGTGTATTTTGAGATTCCCGATTCTCATTTCCTCTATATGCATCTTTCCGTTTTCCTGAAACATGGCGCTTTGCGTTTCGACGCTTCAGTTCAGTGAATTTGCATTTAAATTCGTTGTTTTCTCTTCAGGCTTTGGGAGATTCAGCGTTGTTTCTCGACCACCATTCCCACTGGCATCTTAAGGCTCAGCTGCTCTAATATGGCGTCTTTTGTTGGCGTCTTGACGGATGGAAGAACGTTGTTTAACGTCGGTTTCCTAACATCGTGTCCCATGCAATTCCGAAATTCATTGCGACAAAATAAGGCGTCTTGTCATGATATGAATACATTGTCACTAACACACCAAAATATGTGTTCATATTCCCCGTTTATGTGTTCTAAACTTAATCATACTTAAAATAACCGTACGTTCATCATCGTGGTGTTGGAAACGGGAACAAATTTCCCGGCTGTGAGTGTGAACTCCTTTTGAGCTGTTGCAATGACGAAGGCCAGGCAGCGCTGGAAATGTACAGGAGTGCCAACCCAGTCGCATCCCCAAGCCGAATCGCCCACACTCTCCGCCTGCAACATTTGAAATCGAATTTATTCTCTTGAATGCTCGTTCACATGCACGTCAGTTTCAGTAGTAATAAAACGTGAACTTACCTGTGCAGTCAACTCAGTTCCCAGCCTGCAGAATATGAACACACACAACAGCATCGAGAAATACCCTGCGAAACCTTGTATTACGTCTCCAGAATGACCCCAGCTCTGCACATGTGAATATACGGACGAATTGGTATAAATGGCACATTTATCATTCATATACAGAGGCCTGACATTTATTTGATAATATTTCAAATTCTTCCACTCTCTAAAAATTTGAAGATTATGGGTTTTTAGAAATAAAAGACTAATTTTACCTGTTGTTTTCTATGGGTGCGCAATTTGGTATCTCGTTTTAACTGTATAGCAACTTTGGTTAGATTTAATAACAGATGCTTGGGGACAATATTTTGATTTGAGGAGGATGAAATAATTGAAGACTGACAGAAATTGCGCAGTGAGGAGCTTCGTACTTTAAACTGTTTACCAGTTGTGATAAAGTGATCAAATTGAGGACGAACAGATTGGCGATGCTTGTTGCACGCATGAGACGATAAGAGATTAAAGCAATATTTGTTTGGAGACACTAAATAGGTGTAAATAATTTAAGAAACTCGGACGTAAGGGCAAGAGTTTTTATTAAATTTGGCCTTGAAAATAGTGTGACAATGTTGGCCCTTGTCATTTAGTTACACCTTATACCGCTGTACGGTCGATGTTGCAATTGGGTTGTGACGCAGTTTGGACCTGTAGTGGCGACCAGTGTCGCCCCGAAACGTCAAAACCCGCATGCAGGTCCGCACGGTGTCGCAACCAGGAACACAGACATCGACACCTTAGCCCCTGTGGCAACCTATAACTCAGACACGCAACGTTGTGTGCAAATGAAACACGCAATGTGCGTTAGGCGAACTTTCCAGAAGTATTTGTCCAAAGTTACAGGCACTGGTTTTAGCCACTGTTGTTCGTCTTGCCTGCAAATTTGTGTGTCTTTTGTAATATCCTGAATTCAGATGTTAGCAATTACGAAAACAGTACTATACCATGACTGCGGAGAAGGAGAAGCAGCATAATGCAATTAGTAACATGATGAACAGGCCACAAAAGCAGGGATTGAACACGTCCTCAATTTCTTGCATGAACCTGTGGAAGAGACACGAACAGATTGTAGGAAGCAATAGAGTAGATTTTTCTGTTCTTCAGTTTTAAATCAAAATTACAAGGGGCATTTATTCTGTACGTGACAGATTTACGACGCACAAGATCTGCTTCGAGTTAATTAAGAAAGATTTCTGATTTCCGTATTAGCCGTCGACGATATTCGTTTCTTGTTTAGAAATGATTTGAAAAATTTCGATCTGTTTACTCTAGACTGTTCTAGGGGCTGACAGGGCAGACCATCTGTCGGACACGAGGTCGTCAGAAATTTTCTGGACTGTGTAAGTCCATACATCTGAGTGGATGTAGATCGTTGCTTGTACAAGAACAAAAAGCAGAAACTGTCGATACAGATGCAGTAGAAGGTTTGGGGATTAAATGAGTCCAAGGACCCCAATTTTCGGCGTAACGTTTATAAACTTACTTCCACCATCAGACTCGTGATGTCAGATTTGCTCAGACATTTATAAGTAGGGCTAATTCCAGATGCTCACCTTTTTATCTCCTGGTGATGACGTATGCAGGCATTGAGCTGATCCTGCATGCGACTGAACGTTCCCTCGTGCTCTGAGGTCTCCTGTTTGATGTCCAGGAGAGCTGCCCTCAGCTTCTCCAGCTGACTGCACGCCACACATATCATGATACCATAGAGACCCGTGAAGCCCATAAATGTGGTTATATTCGCAATTGCACCAAATATCTGAGGACGATAACAGTAACGTATGGGTGTGAAACTTGGTTTTCTA